ATGCTTACAATAGAAAATGAAGAAATACAGAAAACTCTAGAGGAAATAAAACCAATTATAATCCCCTCACACAGAAATGATCACAGTTAACATTCTTGTTACATCTCTTTCCACACGTTGTTGAGGTGGTAGGGGTTCTCAAGATGGAATTGTAGATTGTTTTAAGGAAAAAAATGGCTGTGCTTTTATAGTTCTAAATGCACCCTTGGAATTACTTCCAAGCTCTGCAAAGCCTCCCCCCCAAAAGAAAGCAGGGCATGGAGTGAGGCATCCTCCGACCTACTTTTCCACAGGAGGAGCCGCAGCTTTTCTTCCTCTACCACCTTCTACCTTTACTCTTCTTCTCCCCCCAGGAAAGGGAAGACCCTGGCCAGATGGGAGAGGCTGGCTGGGGAAGCCTGGAGCTCCCAGACTGTGAAGTCTTTCCCACCTGCGCTCAAGCGGGCTGAGGCGGCTGGCTTTTACACGTGCCCAGAAACCCCAGAGCAGTCACGTTACATTGCGCGACAGAGGAGGAGGGACAGCAGGACTTCCCAACACCTCTGGGTACTGTTCCTAGGGCCAAATTCCCTCCTTGTGTGTTGGAGCCCTTCCCAGGTTTCCCTCTTCCTCTACTTTGGAGCCTTGCGCAGCCAATGTGTTTCACGCCCGTCACGCCTCCTTCCTTTTTCTGGAACTGCCTTCTGTGCTCTTGCAGGAGCTTCCCAAGTCCCCACTCTGATCGTGAGATTTGATTAGGGACCACCAGTCATGGTCCTCCGCCCCCCTGCCCCAAACAGGGGGATACACGACTCAAGCCAGGCTGATCAGAGCTTCTCTGGGTTTTAAAGTCAGAATCAAGAAACTAGGACCCTTTCTTCTGGTAGCAAAATTGGGAAGACATGAGCCCAGTGCTGCTGTGGCTGGCTCTCACGGTACGTGAAAGGCAGAGCTTGCGGTAAGAGGCCATCAGCCCAGTCCTCAGAGAGAGGCAGAGGCCGTAGTTTCAATCCTCCAGGGTCCCTAAATTCTCTTCCCAAATTTCAGTTCTCCCTTTCTTAAATTCTATAATTCTATGACCTACCCTAGGAATTTTCTCCAACAAACTAGCTCTGAATTGCTTTTCTGTCATTTGGAACCAAAAGAATCCTGGGGAATAGAACCAGACTCTGCCCCAAACTTTCTCAGTCCCCTGGATTCTCTGTAGCTCTCTGTCTCCCCCACCGTCTAGATTTCCAGCTTTCTGTGTCCCTAAAGCCCCGAGTTCTTCAAATTGTGCAATCCTCTCCCGTCGCTCAGGTCCAGCTCTAATTCTCTGTGGCAGAGGATGAGGGTTAACGCTGTGAGAGGTTATGGCTGTGTTGGGTCTCTATTACACTGTCCTTAAAGCCAATTGTTTAGGTCTTTTTAACTTATACTGTTATTTTGCAACGGTGAAATAGTTAGATAAATCACTTTCTTTAAAAGAGGTGACAGATTGGATGGTTTAAAATAAGAGAATGTCTAATCAAAAGCCAATGATGACATGTTGATAAAATGGTATACCACCATCTGTCTGCTGGATTTGCTGGCTTCCCTGCCTAAAATTTGAGTCATGGGTAAAGATGGGTTTGGTTTACTCAATAAAGAATTTGCAGCACCTAACGTGTGCCAGGCGTTGTGTGAGGCTCAGGGACTCTGTCGATCACTGCGAGATAACCTTATTACACCGCATTTGATTGACGGCGCAGTAAGCTGTAACAGCATGTTGTCATTTTCCTAGGGAAGACCTCTCCTTAGAATGCCCTCTAGCATTTACTGCTAAAGGCCACGTGCAAACTCCATATCAAGTTATGAATCTGACATCCACCAGTGCTCAAAAGAGACAGGGCTCGTGCCTTTCCTTTGCAACCTGAACTTCCCACAGCAACCAGCCGCATCGGAATGAGGTCTGAGAGGCTGCTGAACTCCTGCCAAATGACACTCCACTTTACTGACAAAACAGCATCCTCCTGCTGTTCCTTTTCCTGACAGGTATCTATTTTGAACTCCTTCTAGAGAACGCAGTGACAGTTCCCATCCTTGATCTTTTGGCTCAGCTCCCAGGGAGACCTCCCCATGGCATGTTTTATTCATGGTGTTTCCTGGGCTGGTTTCCTCATTGTGAAAGTTGTTGGGGGGTGGGTAGGGGCAATAAATGAACCTGAAATAAAATTTGAGCATCATAATAAAACCAGGCTTTGTGTGCTGAAAAGCTGAGATTCTGGGAAAGACTGTGTTTTGAGAAATTTTAAGGCAAAGCTTCCGCAGAGAAAAAAAAATACATAGCTCTTCCTATTGTGTTGGAGTAGTGAAAGAAGTAGGTCAGAAAAACCAAAATAACCTCTGCTGGGAAACACGAGAAGTTTCAGACAGCCGAAAGCGCGGTGAGTGAAGATGGTGTGACGGATAGACGAGCAGACTGACAGATACGCGGGTCCAAAACTGGGAAAGCCACAAAGAATATACAAAGCAAACGCTCATTCCGCTTCTCCCTAAAAAGGGTGTCTTCGCCATCAACTTCATCACTGCCTATCCTGTAGGACTGACGTGTCTTTCTACTTCGCTAGTCACGCACGTGTAGGAGAAAGAGTGACAAGTGTCTCTTCCACCTGCTCCAACCTCCCAAAACAAAACCAATGGCCAAGTATCACAGGGGATAGAGACTATAGTACTATATCGCATGTAATTTATATGCACGCACACACATATGTATACCTTGAGAATTATGGTCTTCTCGTGACGGGTGATGTTGACACTGTGGGGCTGTCCGTTGGCCATGTTCCTGTGATCCACATCAATGTTGTATGGCTCGCGGGTGCCACCCAGGTTGTACCGAATCTGTAAGTTTCCTACATAAGAAAAAGGAAAGAAACCCTGTCATTTCTTTGCTCTAGGTTTCGTTTTAACGTCACTTCCCCTACCCTGCTGCATAGGTTTCTAGTAAACTCTGTTTTCTCCCTTGACGTCCATTGACACCGTTCCTGTTTTGAATTCAGATTCAGTAGCTCAGAGACCTACTAATCCATATAGGTTGGCAGCACCAGGCTCACATGTATTTATAATCTGCCAACAATGACCTTGGTGCCCAGGTCACCAAGGCAGCAAAAATGGCAGCAAATGGCATAAACAATCCAAGCTGGGATTGGATATGGGAATGAAGAATGAGAACATATACAACAGAGGACCGTGGAGACGCCTGCAGGACCCACGAAATACAGAAGACATGAAAGACAAGGGAGTGCAGTGTGCAGGGACGGTCTTGCTCCACCAGCGGAGGGTGGCATTGGGCATATAAAGGAATCGTGAGCATACAATGTTAAAAATAAACATAATTTTAAATGATAAATATGTGCAATGTGAGGTGGCCTCACTGAGACCAAGAAAACCAAGTACTAAATTGTATTTTAGGTTAAGACTAGCCAAATGCAATTAAAGGGAAATTAAAGGGAAAGATGGCTTCCCAGGTGCCCCAGGCTACTTCTGCCCCTTAATGACAGTGTACTTTTGCTTCAACGATTAGTCTTGTTTTCCTCTTGGCTTCTTCCCAATAAAGACAATATTAAAAAAGACTATTGGGACACTCTAGATCCTGCTTTTAGTTAATCTATACAGCGAGCATAACTTTTATTTCTTATTATGATTTTTAAAGATAATCAATTTTTTATCTTTTCTTTTTTTTTTACTCAAGTTGAAATTTTCCTGTTGTGAATAGCCTTTGACATCCTAGAGCTTAAAACCAGAGCCAGAGTCTAGCAAGAGTCTAACCCACTGCAAATCACCTAATGGATTCTTTGTGGCCTCTTTCGGTTTCTTTCTAGAGGAACAAAACTGATATTCCAATTTTTAAGTTATAAAATACAACGCGGTAATTAAAACTTAGAAAGAAAAAAAAGAAAGTCACATGAAAT